CACCCACATGACTCATCTAACGATACTTGCCATTTTGAACATATCGATATTAACGGTGAAAAAATTGAAATATAATTATAAATGGATTACTAGAATATTAGTTCCATTGCTGGATTTGGTCATCAAAAAAGTTTAACCGTGTTTTAGTTTTGGAAATATTTATTTTAAAAGGTTATACAGTAAACTATCTAAATAATTACTTCATGGATGGATTTCATTGTCAAGCATTCACCCCTAATATATATTTGATTAAGATTTTAACAACTTAACACCTTTCTTATTAAGATTTAAAATTTTAAAATGTACACTGTTACAAAGTAGTTAATTACTTCTTAACGCGTTATATTTATTTAGAGCCAGAAAAGTTCATCAAAATTTCAAAAGAGTTCAACAAAACAGGTAAAACAAAACTATACCTATATAAATTTAAGATATATCTTATCAAGGTAGTGAAATAATGCCGAATAATTTTGCATTGTAAATTACATGATTAATCTGTAAAACCTAATGTTTTTTTTATTGTTCCTATTCCAGTAGCATTTATTTACGTTTCTTTGAAAGGGAACAGTCCAAAACCTTGTGTTGTTACTATGCAACGTCATATAAGAGAGCATTATTAGTTGATAGCGAAATGATCAATATCATCTGGTTGTGGAAACGGTTTAGCTTGGAATCGAACCAGCGACCTTCAGACTCAAAGGCGAGCACTATAACCACAACCACTGCCGTTTTCCCATAACTTGTATAAACTAGTAATCTAAAACATTGTAACAATGAAACTTAATTATTACACTCTTCACTACAATAGCATTTCAATAATGGATAAAAACTTAACTTTGATTATAAACGAAAAAGTCCCGGGGTGCAAATTTAGACCTAAGTGTCAGCCTCTGACATTTGACCCTGCTCGTTGGTTTGAATAAATCTTATTTCCTTGTTTTAATGAATTCGAAGATATCTCTGGATGTTTGAATTCATCCCTTATTAAAATCGAGAGTAAAATATCTTGTTATGCAATAATATTGTTTTACTGTAAGGCAGTCATTGTAAAGTTAATATATGGTTTTACCTTTATATTTAAATAGCTATAGTAAGTGAATTTTCCAAACTTTTTAATATATTGTTTTAGTTTGTTTTCTAAACATTCTTTTGTTGTAGATCTTTAATCATTAATCTTTTACTATAATTTTTAGTATAATGTAAACTGATCTGTTTTCTTTTTTTTAGTTAAAATTATCTTTTATTTCTTACACTTACGAGGCGTTTCCTTCTAATTTCATTCTTCATTCTATGTTTGGGACTATAATTAGTAAGGTTCTGAAATAATAAATATGGAAAATTGACTACTGGTGGCGAGTATCATTAGATCAGCCATGTGGTGGAGGGGATTTAATTATCAAAGGGCAAACTACCCCAGAGGCTGAATTTTATACATTCATATAAAAATATATAATGATCTCAAATTACTTTTTAAATATTGCTTAATTTTTTGCAATTTATTTTTTTAAACTTGTTTTGTATTTTTATACACAATATTGATACGTATCTGACTATGATTAGATGGATAGTTAGGTAATAAGTTTATATAATGATGTAGTCTTGTTTAAAAATATTCTTATACTTTAAAAGTGATACTGTATATGCGTTTTTTATTAAAAATTGACAAAAGTAGATTCAAATTTAATTTATAATCTTTACAAAATTTACTTTTTGATACGTTCATTTTTTTTGTTTAAAAAATGACTCGACTAAAATTTGGTTTGCGTTTTATAAAAAAAAAACACTATGTTACTGTGGTTCCCGTTCGTGTCTCTTATTTTTATTTTATTATGTACTGAATGACGAGGGGTAGAAATCAATTCGACCACTAGAGATACCGATTTGACCACCTGATATACCAATTCGACCACTAGAGATACCGATTTTACCACCAGAGATACCAATTTTGCCCCCAGAGATATTGATTTGACCACCAGACATACCGATTTGACTAGTCCAACAACAATCTTTTGTAAGGTTAAAACGATTTTTAAAAATTGCGATATCTGTGCAATTACCCAGAGATTTTTTGGACCACATTTCATCCTTGGCCAACATGGCGCTGTTTTAGATTGAAAAATATAGGGAACTGGGTAAAATTATTTAGGATAGCAGCCTAAACCTTAAAAACCTTTAATCTCTTTACACCAGCAAATATCGAAAGAGCTCGAGTTGCAGTTGCTAAAAGTCCAAAGAGGTTTTGGCTCTTTTCTATCTTTGGGGGTTCTCCTGATAAACTACTTAAAATTCTAGATTTCTCTAAGTCGCCCCAGAGATTATCTTCAAGTCGTTATCTTCAATTTGCTTGAATCGAAGCTAAGAATTATCCAAGAAACTAAACTGATTCCTTGAATTTCTGGAACGAGTATTCGATGTAATTCTCAAGAGACTAAAAATGACTGTCAAGTAGGACAATACGTCACTTGAAGGACGATGATTTTTAAGAACGGGAAAAGACTCCATCAAGTTAAAATGTCATTAGATAAGCTGTGTTCTGATGTGATATTTATATGTAAAGTGTAAATATTATAGAATTTGTACCACTTATAAATTGGGGGGCATTCATTGCCTAACTGTAGTTTTACCTCAGATTTTGTAGTAGAAATTTGATTTAGATTTTACACTTATATATGAGTAACAAATCAAGAACACTGACACATATAAACATAAGTTAGAGAATGTATAAATATGCCAATAACACTTATTAGGTCTAAGCTTACAAGGGATATTAAACAAATATTTTTCTAACCTAAAATGTGTATAAAATGAAAAACGAACAGTAACTTTACATAAATAAAAGTAGTTACCAAACGATATTCACGAACTAAAGTATACATAGAGCACTTTAGTGCATTGCTGATTTATCAAGTTTTATTCGTGCATGAGATCACAGAATATGAAGCCGTTTAGTTGGCCGATAACGACCAGTCATCAAAGGCGTTCTCTGCTCAATGCCTGAACGGCTGGAATTCGCCCTTAAAGCTTAACCACTTTGTGTATTCGTCCCCTACACACACAAACACATCCATACTCGCTAAAAAGGTCAGATGTTTCATTTTGTAGAGTTTCAGAGTGGTTGTTACCTTATGAGTGGCTCATATTTTCCTTTTCATTTAGTGTTGTCTACACCAATGGCATTTTTTACGTTTAAAAGGGAATAGGTCCACACTCTGATCCTGAACGTCGACTTTTTTCTTAGATGTCAACATTAATTTACAGCCAAATTGCTTATGGGGTCTGAAAAGATCTAAAATCCAACTCTACTTTAGAATTGAACCAACGACCTTCAGATTTGAAGGTGAGCACTGTAACCACTTGGCTACCCTGATAGTTATTAATACAGAAAATTATTTCCAAGCTGAATATATCTAACTACCATTCGATTTACATATAGCCCAACTACGCATTATCTTCCTTGAAGCGCAAAAGCTATTCCAAAAGTTAAAACTCATATTCGATGGACAGTTATACACCAACCGCTGATGTTTTAAAAAGTGACACAAGTGATTCTATTAATATGTCTGTAATAAACAAAAAAGACCCGGTTCCTCATTTCTAAATATATCAATGGCACAGACAGATACCCAACTTGTTCGATAGGTTTCATCACGGAAAATACAACACTTTTCATCACATTGATTTACTCTTAATGGTACATTAACCATTCGTTTGATAACCTTCTTACACAGGATGTATATAATTTTGTAATTAATCCGCTTAGTTTTCTAGACAAAATATGACCAAGGTAGCTGAGATTCTGGGAATTTCAGTTATTTATGTTTTAGATTGTTTAGAAGTTGGGTTTAACAAACCCAAAAATTTCCAAGGGAAAGATTTTGCGACGATCGACTTTTAAATTGATAAATACTATGGAAATGTATTGTTTCTAGAAAAACTATATATCCCATTCAACTTCATTATTGGGATCTTTCAACAATTTCTTGGATAACCTTAACTCATCAATATCAAAACTGAACTTATAACACAGATGACTTTTGCAATTGGGGTGGGTTTCATAGTTGACTTTGTGTACTGCAAATGTGTTGTAAAATCCGACAGCTATTGATGGGTTTTTCATGTAACCGACCAACTTTTAATATAGTTACGAAAGTTCTTTCTGTCCCGTTCCAAATACTCATGATATAGTTTACTATGTATAAGGATACAACTACGTATATCCAAATACAAGTAGACTTAATCCTAGAGTATACTTTATCCAAAAGTGTACGTTATCCTAGAGTAGACTTTATCCTAGAGTACAACCTAATGTCTGTTTTGATATATGTTTCATGTCCGAATACATTTTAAAGAACCCATATTGGTTATTTGTGCTTATAATCATCATAAAAAAATTACTGTGAAACATATGGATTAATCATCTTGTGTGAGAATAATAGTTTGGGGCATGTGCTTTTAGAAAAGTTAACTTATTCATGCAATAACAAATTTTTGTGATAAGAGATCTATTTCCTTCTCTGCTTTACTAGTAAGAAAGACTAGGCCTACCATCTTTCTTAAGATTAACTATGTAGTCCAAGGAAAAGCAATTTTGATTTCCATTTAGAGTGAATGTTTGTACCAATGTGATTGTGTGTGTGTGTGTGTGTGTGTTTTGTTTTTAAAAAAAAACCTATATCCTCATAATGTATAATTTAGTTTATTTTCTTTTACGTAATTAAATTAAGTAAACTATACTTCTAATGCGTAAATGTTGAATTTAATTCACATTTTATATATTAAAGTATTATTTATTATAAGTGAAACTGTTATGTAAAACAGTTGATGAATAATTACTATAGCCGAAATAATGTTTTCATTTTAAGTAAAGGAAAATGTGTACAATTTTGTTTTTATATTTTTACGTTTGACGATTTTAAAAACTTTTCAACTGTTACACATATTTAACTTATCACATCTATAAACTATTTAAAAATATATTTATAAAATATTTTTTGTTTTAGGCCCAGTTCTGTGAAAGTTATTGTAAGTACGATTTTATTATCCATTATAACAAAATATTTAATATATATTCCTTATTGGGTTCTTGACTTTGAGTGTTTATGTATAAGAAATTGTTTTAGCATATTAATTGCAGTTTATTGAACCGCTTAGCAAATTTCGCCGGGACCAAGTATAATTTTAAATCCAAGGGGCTACTGAAAAATATTGTTTTACGTTTGTAGTTTGGATATGTTCATTCTCAATCAGATTTATATGAAGGAAAAAACTGTTTTAGCTTTTTTATAGTAAATAAGCTAAATAATGGATTTTAAATTAATAATACAGTTTAGATGGTTAGTATTTAAAACGTTTCAACGTTTTATTATGTCTCGATATTATGAATATAACTTGTTTTGTACGTCACGTTTCAAATAGTCAATAGATTTGTTCGTTCAAGATATTGGTAGAAAAATATTGAACCTCCCATGATCGTACGCATATAATTCCAAAACATTGGTCGTTTGCGGGTTTTCAAGTGTTTCCGTTAAATTTATTTGTACTGTTATGACTTGAACGTCAACTGATTTGAGACGAGTATTAAAATATTTATTTAACATACAAAATCTAACCTCGTTTTAGCTAAATATGTATTACGACTAAAGTATTTTTTTAATCGTACCTTTTAAAGCAGTACTACACACAAGGGCAGTATTTGAGCGTGCAGAAATAATATACTTTTACTGAATATATTTTGTAAATAACCGTCTATCCAAGTAATCAAAATAGCATAAATATAAGGAAACTTTATAATTTTAATAATGTACGCTTGTACCATGACTTAGCTAATGCAATATGTATTGTCAATTTTAACTAAATAAAATGATTTGATTTGATTTGATTTGATTTGACAAATTGTTGGTACTGATCCAATGATCTGCCATTTATATTACTTTAAGGTGTAATTTAATATTTACTGAACTATAAAGTTATCTTAAAGTTTAATTGTTCTCATTCATTTTTATTAGCAAACAATCCTAATTTTGACAATGATTTAAATACAACCAATGTCACCTTTCTAACCGATAAATACTAACATGTGGTGCCATATGATAGCCAATATTTAAAAGTTAATTGCATTACCGTAATGATATATTTCAGTAAGAATGTAAGCATTAACATTTTCATCAAACCCTATCATTGATAAATAAAGTACTTTACTCAAGGGATTTAATTTATGATTGATACTCATCGGTAATTTTAACAGGAGGAAATAAATCTCTTAATGACGTTCTTTACAACAACAATAAAAACTTGACACTAATGGCCATAATTTTGGATTTCAACCGAGCAAATCTACATAAGTTCTACAGCCTGTACATTGGAACTACAGCTAAAAACGTAGGTCATAGTAAGAACAAGAGTGTTAATTTTATCTTCTGGCGTTCCAATTGTTGTAGATGTACTACCACTTGCTTTGTCAGCACAGTGAAATCATGTGTTTCATTTAAATGTTCAACAGGAAGCCACAGTGGATTAAAACTACCTGATGGGGTCACTGTGCTGCCGAAACGGGTAGTAGTAAATCCACAACAATTGGAACGCCACAAGGTAGTATTAAGCTCATTGATATTTGACGTTCCAGTAATAGGAAATATATTCAGGCTAAGAACTATGACTGAAACCACTCTAAGTTTAACAACTAACTATAGGGAAGTATTTAATGTAGCGATCGTGATATGGTGACAGAATAAAGAGTGAGAGTTCTTTCGTAGATTTAATCTTAAATACTGTCTCACCCATCCAGGTGGCGTGCTCTATTTGAGTGAATTTCGCTATTGGGAGGGAAATATTACCAAAGTTTTCAAAATTATTTTTGCGTCCAAGTTTTAGCGAATTTCCCATATAGGGAATAAGCTATTTTTATTCTATTTTAACCATACATTTTCTTCTCCACATAGGGGTTGAGAATGTGTGTTCGTATCCAGCAAAAAGGGGTGAGCTGGTGTAGTGCAAGAGTAAAATTGTATTAAAATTAAATGGCGGGCATTAGGACCCATCACTATCATTGATTTTGTAGTCAGTTGGCTGTCGACTTAGCCACTGACCCATCAAGATGTAGTTATCAACAACATTATTGATATTAACTAATAAAATTGTTATAAAACTTAAAAACAATATCTGCCAAGAATTCATCTAAGTATCAGTATTATTTTAGGTACTTGTTGTTAAACTCGTGAGTATATATCTATGAGCCATTCACCAATGTATGCGAGTTGATCTTCATTAATATTAAACACATTAACAATACAGTGTGTTGCTTGCCTAGTGGTTTGCGTTGCGGACTTTGGCGTGAGAGAGACGAGTTCAATTCCCGGTACATCCACAAAAATTGATCGGATAGGACCAGTTTCTCTTGCAAGAATTTGCATTACCTTTCTAAACATTCCGTCGGCTTGGACACTATAAAAAATTGTTTAAATTTCATAACAATAAAATTCAAACACAACCAATCTCCACAGCATGTTTTACTGTGTAAAAAGGTCAATATGCTAAACAAAGTAAAATCGATTACCCGAAGAACATAAAGCACTTATACCAATTTAATATAACAAAACAGAAACAAGATGAAACACAAAAGTGAAAGTGACAGTATATTTGTAAAACGAACATAACGTAGCTGGAACGGATGTAGGGTTGAAGAGTGGGGGGAGAGGGGGGGAGAGGGGGGCACTATCGCCTTTTGAGACCTGATTGCGTCCTTTGTACGCCAAGGATGTGCATAGCCACTTGTGAGCCAGGTTAAACATACCGTTTACTCTCACAGGGTGTGCAGATATTACCACATTCTTTGTGTGAATGAGTCAACCATATAATAGTAGCGCAGATGTGAGGGTACTGAATTGTTCGAACAAGAGTCTTGTTATCTCAGAGATTATAGCAAACGTTTCCATCACGAACAGTAAAAAAATATTACGACGTTTCGGAATCAGGAATCTTATACCGTCTTCAAGTGAAAGAGCATTTAAAATAATACAAGAATAGTACACAAACCCACCAACGTCACGAAAACATTATCCCTCAATTACTAAACTCGCTATAAAAAACTTAAACAAAGAAGTTTCTTGTAGTCTAAGTTGTAAATGCAATGAAGGTGAGTTTTAAAGTTGACATAGAATCCTGCAATACTGTTATGTATTGTAAACTTGGAAAGCTATCAATGGGTGTCGTGTAACCGACCAACTTTGAAAACATTGTTACGAAAGTTCTTTCCATCCTGTTAAACATACTATACTCATTACTATAGTTGAGTATGTCTAAGCGAACTTTGAATACAAGTAGAATTTATCCCAGAGTACAACCTGATGTCTGTTTTGATTTGTTTCATGTCAAGTTGCATTCGAGAGAGTTCATATCCTCTAAATGTTTCGTTTCAAATTAAGGTATATTTCATACTTTACGTTTTACTTTTTAATATTATCCCCGGAGAACTAGAAACCCTTTACAAAATCAATTTATTCGGTCATAATAGTGTACAACTTTAGCTTGTTCTACCCTACTGTCGACAGAAACCTTTTCATCATGGACATGCCATACAATGGTATTAGTTGTATCAATGTGGATGATAAACAAATAATGAAATAATTGTATTTTTATCGCTTTCTGTTTAAGAATTTTTACATTAGAAACGTTTCCAAATTCACGGAAAATATATATATTTCCATCGCATTACTACGCATTATTTATAATATCTAATTAATTATTTTAAAGATAAACTTATATTTCCATCGTGATCCGGTCTCATATTCTTAAATATTTAATTAAAAACCCTACAAAAACATTATCCCAAAATAGCAAGAGATGACGGCAGAAACCTCTTCATGAAGATATTCAACAGTGAAACGAGCGATGAAATCGGGTAGTCACTCATAATTGATAAATGAGACGAATTTTGACAGGGTGACAAAGTGGTTTGGGATAAAGACGCCACTTTAATTTAGAACCCTCCTGAAAGAACCTTGGAGTAAGTGTCGTCGTTCACTTGAAGCACTTTAGTGCCATGTGTTTCTTAATAACATCAGATTGGTTTCTTCGTCAAATGTAGGTAAAAATAAAATGTTCTTGGATTAAATAACTATTGAGAATAGTTATATATTTTTATTGTTATATATTTGTTATACTTATTTTTCAAGGAAAGGCTATAATAATTTGTTTAAGGTTAGTCTTTGCAATGAACCATCTTCATTGCTTTAAGATATTTAGATGTTTTTGAACTATTTATATATATTCGTGAGTCGTTTGCTTAGCCTGTAGCGTAACGCAGTTAATCCCATGACTGGTAATGTCGTGGGTTCGAGACTTGGTAGCACCAATATAGTTTGTATGATGGAACCTGTCTCCTGGCCTTCCTCCTACCTGGAGATCAACTATAGCCAATGAACGGTTAAAGGCCTGGGCCAGTTCTAGGTAGACGTTGGGCCATGAGTTAGCTTTTATCATAAAGACTATAATGAACAGTTCTGATGAAGAGTACAAAACTCAAGATAACCATGATAGCCAAGATGACTCAAGTATTGTAACGGTTCCCCCTTTAATTTGCTTGTTACAGTCCATTCTTGCACAAAACTGCACAGGCTTGAGGCCTATGTGGTCAGGCCTACCAAGGTCAAAATGGGCTACCGTCCTCTAAATGATAAAACAATGTTAGAATTAGAAATTTTATCCACTTTTTTATTATTCGTCGTGGAACTATTTTATTTATTATTTTGTTTTAGTGTAACATACAGCAAATATATACAACTTAGAGTCCGATACATTCTAAATTGCCCTGTATTTCGTTTTTGCTGTACCATATGTACCATCAAGTACTGAAATGAAAATCTATTATGCCTCCAAGACCTATGTATGATATAACATGCATGACTATTTGGCAAGTGCTTCAAATTATAATTTTTCTTCTTACTTATTTTCTTTTCAATTGTTTAAGACCATTGTGTTTTTAATTTCAAATCTTATTTATATCTTTCTGAACACTCTTTGTTTAT